TAGGTTATTTAACCACTTTAGCCTTAGATGCTCTTATCTCTAAAATGGGATTTACCTCCAAGGTCTATGCCAAATGTAATCCTATCATCCTTTGACTAGATAGGCACTGAGGTCTCCTCTAGCTCTGAAATTTGGATATTATGTGCTGCGTATCATCTCGTTGGGCAACTAGGTGGCGCAGTGGATAGGATGCCAGGCCTGGAGTCAGGAGCCAGGAGTCAGGAGTCTTCCTGAGTTCAAATCCAGCCTCAGCTGTGTGACCCCAGGCAAGCCACTTAACCCTGTTTGCCTCAGTTTCATTATCTGCAAAATGAGGTGGAGAAGGAAATGGCAAACCATTTTGGTATCTCTGCCAAGAGAACCCCAAATAGGGTCATGAAGAGTTGGACACAACTGAAAAACAACTGAACAACAATAACAGATCATCCTGTTGGGTGGTGTCCCAAAAAAGGCAGCCCTATGCTGCACATATGCCGTTGTGCACGTGGAGGGAGATGTGAGTCACCATTGAGGAGAACACTGAACATGGCACTGTGTACCTGAGTGAGATCTTAAGTAAGTTAGTTGGTTTCTGCTATTCCTCAGGAAAGGAACAGGGAGAAAAGAACAACATGGCGGCAGAGGAGAGGGAGACTTTGGAATAGTGGACAAGAATGAGAAGTTGGACCCATATTGTTCCTGGACTTGTCTACAATTCTAGAGACTTCTAAGAATGGATCTCCAGTGGTAAGACCATTCCTTCCTTGTTTGAGCTGAGATCTTATTTCACTCCCAGTCAAAGAATTCATTCATTCTTCTCTATACTTTGGTGTATATCCTAAATCAATTGTGTCAAAATCAAACCCTGCAGGCATATATTTACTTAGAAAACTACAGATTAACATCAATGATGTTGTATTGTATTTTATTAATTTTTTGTTAAACATTCCCCAATCACATTTTAATCTGGCTCTGCACTGAGTTTTGTTGAGGCTGTGAGCTTATCTCCTCTGTTCTAAATGATATAAGTTTTTCACATTTTCATTTGCTGTTTTCCTTAGCCAAATAGGTTTATTTGCTACTTGTGATGATTTTTTTGTGTATCTAGTATTTAGTAGGAAGGGGCTAAGCTGGTGAGTATTAAGCCATGGGAATGACCAAGGAAATAGATTTTATTTTGAACTTATCATCCCTTATGTCAGAAATATTTGAAGGATGGCAGATAGATAACATTCTAGCCCACTATATCTCTTGAAGAATGGAGGAAATATTCCCTAGCACCTTCTGTCCTAGAGATTGCCTGCCCTTTCCAGCTATTGCACTGGTGGTACAGATATATGGCCCTTAAATATCCTTTTGCTCTCATTAGAGGTAGGTCAGAACTTAGATCATATCTCTCCTTCCCATCCATGAGCCATTTCTTTGTGTATTAGACAGCTCTACACAATACAAATCTTACATATATAAACACAAACCATGCTGTGATGGAATACCCTCATTATAGATAGATAGATAGATAGATAGATAGATAGATAGATAGATAGATAGATAGATAGATAGATATTGTCTGTTACAAATGGATGATCTCTGCTATTACTTATTACCTAATTGGAAGTTATTAAACCATGCATCATTTATCAGCTTAGCTGATGTTTACCAATGAGATTAAGGCAGTTGTAACTAGGAATTCTTGAGCCTCAGACAAATTCAGTAGGGTAGGGGATAAAGAATAGAGATAATATTTCAGGATCCCAAAGGATACACGGACATAAGTGCTGCTTCACTAGGAGACAGGAGAGGGTCCATTCTTCGAATGAAAATTGGGATAGGAGAGCTCTAGGATAGGGGGACCACGACAAAAGAACCCTAGTGGTGGCATCATGAGAAAGAAGTCCCTCCTCCCTCTCCAAACAGAAATATGTTCCCAGATGTTGATGCCCTGGGGGCAAGTCCCAGTTGCCCCAGAACAGTCATAGTTCCAATCTGGGGGAACACTTTAAAGTGACCGATTTTAAAATCATATATTGATGCTTTATCATTGCTGTTACTATTTGATGTGGTATCATGGATTTGCATATCAAAGCTTTAGGCTCATGAATCCACTGGGCTATGCTGATAAATGTTTAACAACCAGTACCGGGGGCTTGCAGGGTGGAAGGAGGGAGGAGGGGAGTGTACACAGAGCACACTTTTAAGTTTAATCAGCATTTTTTATGATTTTCTCCATCACTTTCATAAGTCTAAGGTCCTTCACAAAACAATAAACGAAGCCCTGATTCGTAGTGTTTACTTCATTTCTGACATGGAAATGCTCACGCTGAAAATTTAACAAATTGGGTCCCAGGACCCAGTTCAAGCTGGATCCAGCCCACCATGGTGCTTGCAGAAGTGATATAAAGATACACTTAAAAAATTAAACATTCAGTCAAAGGGAGGGAAGCTCAGTGCAAAAATACCAGTGAGCCAGACTCTAGAGTCTTCTTTTAGAAGAATCACATTTCTGGGATTTGCTCAGAAGGATCCCAGGAACTATGAGCTTTCTAGAGACTCAAAAGCCGCCAAGTACCCCTCAAGCTGTGCTCTGTACCAGTGGGGGAATCTCCCAGTGGTGGCCATGAAGACCACTCAGTGCTCCAGTCTCCTCTACTACACTTACTGCCATAGAGTAGTTCTTGGCTTGTTTTTTGTTTTTTTGTTTTTGCCTCCCCATGGAAATAGTTATGGCTCCAAAGGCCTCCCACCAGAAAGGAATGTATTTCATGGGCGGTAGATGCCAAACCCACAAACTAGTGAGTCACATTCTCCCCTTAGCTACACACCTGCCAATCCCTCCAGCACTAACTAGAGATTCATGCTTGTATCTATGGGTACAATGTGGCCCACTGTGCCTAGGTTATGAGGCAGATTCTGCTATGAAAATTCATTTAAAAGTTCAGCCTCCATCATAATCCACTTAAGCCAAGGAACAGGGTAAGTGATCCAGAACAAGTGACATAAAATCCTATCTAGCCATTTGCTAAATGGCCCCCAGATTTGTTGGAGCTGGTACTCCATTTGTATCCAGCACAGTCACACTGCCTTTTGCCTGGAACTGTCCTTACAAGAAATTCTCTAGCTTGCTAGAGCTAACCTTTAATTCTTCCAGCTCTTTGAGACCAAAATATGAACGAGGCAGCAAAGCCTTTGTAAGTATGTCCTGTTCCTGGATGTAAAAGGCAATACCCTAGTGAAATACAGCATCTAAAGCTAGGTTTCTTCCTGACACATGAGGTCTTTTAGCATGAATGACAATATGCACATAGAAAGTGTATGAAAAGCCAATGTCCCTCTTATCATGTTGCGAATTTGTCCCTTCATCAATTGCTATTGTCATTCCACATTATTAAATACCTAATAACTTAGGTATTTAGAGCAGCTTTCAAAGAAATAAATGCTGAGGGCGATAACTGTTGTCATCAGTATTTTACTGTAATTGTTTGATGTGTCCTTTCTTAGCATTTGATATTCCAATGGAATTAAGATGTCCCATTGTGGATATTCTTTCTATCAGAGTAGATTGCAACTTCTCCATACCTTGTCATTTTTGTCCCTGTCTTTCTGTAAATCTTCCAAGGAATATCTACTATAAACACTAGATACCAGAGCACAAGGGCAGCTAGATGGCACAGTGGATAGAATGCCTGGCCTGAGGTCTCATGTGCTTGAGTTCAAATTGGGCAAGTCACTTAACCCTGTTTGCCTCAGTTTCTTCATCTGTAAAATGAGATGGAAAAGGAAACAGAAAACACTATCTTTGCCAAGAAAACCCCAAATAGGGTCACAAAGAGTTGGACACAACTGAACAACAGCCAGAGCACAACTTGGGTTGTGTACCTGCAATTCCTGGCTTTTGCTGTATGACTGGCTCACAATACACACACACACACACACACACACATACATACACAAAAAAACAAAAACAAAACAAATATACACACATATACACATACACACATATATATATATATATACATTTACATGTACACACACACATATATATATTTATACTTGGTGATGACTTTCTTCTACTCCTTAGGTTTGAATCATTGTCGGTGATATACTGCAGTCTACTTATACCCACTAGGCATTTGGTATTTTGCTTTGGATTTCATACAATTTTGATTTTTCTGAGATACGGTGTTCCATCATTCACAGCCATGTAACATCACTGGGAGAATAATTACGCAAAAAAAAAAAAAGCATGCTTTTGCAGTCGTAAGCTACTTGGTATTCCTTAAAGAACCATACAATTTTAAAAGCTATCCAGCCAAATTGCCTCCTCCCACTTCAGTTCTAAGCCCAGCTTGTTGCCCATCTGTTATACTTGTTTAAAATGCTGAAGGCTGCCCAAATTATAGGATACCAAAACCTGAGCAATATGAATTTTTCATCCACTTTGTTTTTCAGATGTGGATGACTAAGACAATTGCTTTTTGAGTGGCTATGGATCTCGGTTAGTAGGCTCTATATTATTCCAGAATTCACCGTAATCAGCAGAATGTCACCCATGAATAGGAATAACTAGAGATCTTTACCATCCATGGAGAATCCCTCTTTCATTTGGACTCTGACTCTAAGAATTACCTTGAAGTGGGCATTTAGGGTCCACTTAATGTTGTTATTTGCCAAGTCCAGCACTGTAGGCACTGCCTCACCGACTCTTGGTAAGGAGTATAGTATATATGGAGATAACTTTCTATTTTTTCTATAAATTCTATTTCTCTGTTGCTCTTATTTATTACTCTTTACTAAGGACCTATAGCTTCTGACTGTTAGAGATACTATGATAGAAAAAGAAGTCCTCAGAAGGTACTTTGAAGAGCGTATCTTTCCTTGTCCTTAGAACACAGATTAATTACAAGAAAATCCTCTTGGTATTCTTCATGCCCAAACCATGAGCAACACAGCCAGTATGAAAAGATCCACTCCTCCCAAACACAGTAAGGGAACATACAATACAGTGGAAACACATCAACACTTACAAAGGGAAAGACATCCAGAAACTCCCGGTGCATGCAGCCATTTTGCTCTTTTTCAGTTCGACTCTGCCTGTCTCCTTTCTCCAAGCTCTCTAAAGTCTAAAAGTTCACTGTGATGGGGGCTACTTTCCAAATCCCAGGATAGAATCCCTGTGCTGCTTGCAAGCATCCCCAGAATGAAAAAGAAGCTGAAAGCTGCAGTCACTGCCTTCCCACCTTCACAGCAGAGCTGCACTGCTTTCTTGCTGTACTGGCTAACAACTAGAAACTTGTGAGGCAAACTCAGTTCCCCTTCCCCCCTTCCACCCTACAGATAAGGAAACAGAAACCCAAAGGAATTAAACGACTTGGCTGAAGTCACCTTACAAATTTGTAACAGATTTAGGATTAGGAATCACGTCCTCTGCTTCAAGGTTGTTGAATCTCTGGTTTTGTTATTGTTTTAATAGTCTGGGACCTAACTAGACGGAATACCCAAGATGAGGGATGATTGTGTTTCTATTGCCATTCTGTCCCCAAGATAAAACTTTTCCCCCCATTTAAAATTTCTGCCTTTATTAGAGCCCTAAAATAAAGAAAAAAAGGATGTTTCCCCCCCCCCCATTTCAAAAAGATATCTTTATTGAGAATCCTTGCATTTCACACCCTGAAGTTGGGCTTGGCCAATACACTTTTCTGTGCCAAGGTCTCTAATCGAGAGAGAAACCCTTATTTAAACAAACAAACAATAAACTTTGGTAACAAAGTACAATGCTCGAATTTATTCATTGCTCTTTCCTTATCTTGAGCATTAACCAGAGTTCTAATGGAATAGCCAGTGAATGGTAACTATGGTTTCCGCTATTAGTCTTTCTTTAAAAGGGGTCATTATCCTTCCAAAGCAAAGACTTTTTTTAAGCCCTTCATTTATATGTAAATATACATCAAAGCCAACTGTGATTCAACCAAGATGCTTTCTCCTTTGCTCTCTGGCTTCAGTCCCCTTATCCCCCCACCCACAAGGAAGTCAAGACGCAGTATTTTTTGACCTCACAGCTGATTCATTTGACACCGAGCAGGCAAGGGGTGGGGGTGGGGGGATTGACTGAAGGATTAGATAAAGGAAACCAGCTGTGACCTGGCACAGGCTTTTTTCAAAGCACCAAAAAAAAAAAGACTTGGAATCAACATGCTGCTATGGAATAAATATTGATGGGGAAATCAGACTTGTATTCTAGTTCCAGCTCTGCCACTTGCTGTGTGACCCAGGGCAAATCAAATAAACTCTCTGGGCCCTGGTTTTCTCCTCTGTAAAATAATAACAATAGCTAGCATGTATATTTTTTAGCATGTTAAGGTTTGCAAAGTTTTTATACCTATTAATTCATTTGAGTGATCCCCAAGCAGCAACCTGTGAGCTGGGTGTTATTGTGAACCCATTTTACAAATGAAAAAACTGAATCAAAGGGAGGTTAAATATCTTATCTAGGGTTGTGTACCTAGTTAGCCTCTTAGGCGAGATTTGCACTTAGGGCTTCCTGACTTCAGGTTTAACGCTTTTGTTACTACTGGTCTACCCAGCAGCACTGCAATGGGGACATTCTATTAGATGATTCTGATACTCCGTATCTTACAAATCAGCCTGTTTGAAGAAATGGTCAAAAGCATCCATCAAGTACAACTTAGCCTGACATGAATTTTGATTTTCATTTACCATACAGAACATAAGAGAACAAGTTCTTATCCTGGCTTCCATGAACTCGCTATTTAAAAAAAAAAAACTTGTGCTAACTGTATTTCCATATAATTGGTTTCCTTTGTAATCATTTATGCATTTTATCTTTTTAAGACACATTTTTATTTATTTTATTAAATGTTTCCTAATTACATTAAAAAATTCAATATTTATGATTTAAAATTTTGAGTTCCAAACTGTCTTCCTTCCTAGTGCCCCTCCCCCACTCCTTGAGAAGGCAAGCAATGTGATATCAATTATACATGTGAAATTATTTATGCATTTTTATCTTACGCACTTAAAAACACCATTCTGAGAAGGGGTCCATAGTCTTCACCAGCCTGTCACACTGGGCCACGAGAAGAAGTCTTATTCTATAGCATCTTTCACCTTCATTTAATGACTCTATAAAATTCACTGGACTAGGCCCTAGGGAAGAAGCAAAATTAAATAAAACAAAATTAAATAAGGTCGTGGCCCAGTGGATAGAATGCTGGGCCTAGAGCTAGGAAGACACAAGTTCAACTCTTACCTCAGATACTTACTTGTGCGTGACCCTGGACAAGTCACTTAGCCTCTGCCTCAGTTTCATAACTGTAAAAAGGAGGTGGTAATACTAGCACTTACCTCACAAAGTTGTGAGGATCAAATGAGATAATATTTGTAAAGTCTCTTAGCACAGTGCCTGCAGAGTAGGTACTTAATAAACAGTTGTTTCTTTCCTTTCTAGGTACTAGAATAAAGGACTCTAGTATCTCCCCTCCAGAAACCTTTTGAATCAGCATTGTAAAGGACAAGTAAAAGGATCACTTAACCTATTCCAATCAGTTCTCTCTGCTAGACCTACCCCCTCAATTTTACTGACGAGAAAATTGAGACTGGGAAAGTTCAGTGACTTGTCCCAAGTCAGAAGAAAAAAAAAGTGTCAGGGCTAAGTTTCAAACACAGGATCATCAAATTCTAAATACAGTGCCACCCTGTCTCGTGTCCTTGGCCAGAGTGGAAAGGCAGCCTACAGGGTTCCTACAAGGGTGACAGTTAAGGGCTCCTATTCACATCAAGGTACTCAAGGAAGCAAGTATCTTAAGGGCTTTATGCACACAATAGCTTAATTAGTCATTAGGGAATTTATTCCTATAGCTCACACTTATATAGGACTTCAGAGTTTGCAAAGTACTTTACCCATATCATCTCATTTAACTCCTGGGTTTTGTTTGACTTCATTTTCATGTTGTCTTCCGTGGTTCCTCCAATTATCAGTACCCTCTCCCTTCTCAGTTTTTCTTGTGCTTTCTTACATCGATAGAATATAAGCTCCCTGAAGCTAGGGAATATTTTCTTTTTGTTTTTGTTTTTAGTGCCTAGAACAGGCACAAAGGCATTGATAAAAATTTGCTTAATTGAACTGAATGGAGGCAAAGCCAGCTCCTTGTGTGATCTGTGGGGAAATGAGGGAGGATAGACACTATCTCTAACTTCAGTGACTCTTGGAAGAGTTAGATTGCCCTGAAGGAGAAGAAAATATTTATCCTGTGGAATCCCCTCCTGGCCACCTGGCTATAGAAAGGGCCTTTTCCACCCTAGCCTGCAGGTCCTTTTGGGGTGTAGAAACAAAAGCATTCCATCCTTGAGATCCAATAGTTCTAGGATGGGATATATTTACCCTGGTTCCTTTTGGCCTTAGAATCTAAGTGTTAGGCCCTGATAGCCTGGAGCACATCCTGTTGGCCACAAAGAGCAGAATTTACACGGGTCTCTAGGAAAAATCTTATTCCCACAATCAAACTGCCCCAACTACTCAGGAAAGGTGCCTTGTTGTATTTTCTGCCCCGGGTGATAGGGCAGATGAAAAGTTTCCCATTGCAACAGCGTGTCCACTTTGCTCAGGATGTACCCCTAATTTTCAAAAGGCCCTTGGACTTCTTTGTCATCAGGTTGGGGGCAGAGAGAAGAATGAAGATCCTTAGTGACAGACTCACCAGTGAGCCTTCCTCCCTAGATGGTGAGCTGTGGGGAGAAAATGGAGATCTTTAGGGAGGGTTCTTTCATTGACTGCCTGATCTGTGGGCCCACAGGACTCTTTCTGCTAAATAGAGCCCTCTTTCTCTGAAAACTTTTATTTATTTTGTATTCAGTGCAGCGAGTATCCTTTTAGGCCCATGTTTGCCTGTTCCTAGTTAGGATGATAAATTTGCTGCTAAAGACAAAGTACAATTTCAGTCATGTATATAGCCTATAGCTATAACTGCCCTCCTCCTTCCCTCTGCCTTCCCTCCTGTCTTACACTCCATCTCACCCCAATCTTGGGCTTGAACTTTGGTTTCTGTTACTGTCACAAATTGCTGTCATGTGACACAGTGCTGGCACCACCCAGAGTATTTCAAGTCAGTTTTGAGTAGCGGAAAAGTCCAAGAGTTGAAATCCAAAGACTTGGGTTCTAGTTCCAGTTTTTATAATTAACCAGCTGTGTGACCTTTGGGATGTCAGTTAACTTCTCTGGGCATCAGTTTTCATATCTGTAAAATGAGGAGGAGTAGAATGGATGACTTTGAAGATCCTTTGGAGCTCCAGAATCCTGTGAGTTCACCCTCCCTGCTGTCTAGTATTTGGTCTCAGAAATAAACAAACCCACAAAAAAACTACCTGCCCAAAGAGCTTCTTAGCGGCCTCATTTGTATTTGCAAAAAACTGGAAATAGTGAAGACGTCCAACAATAGGGGAATGGTTACACAAGTTTTGTTAATGTAATAGAATAATGTAATAGAATAACAAGTGGTTTGTTAATGTAATAGAATGCTGTAAGATCCTTAAAGCTATAAGAGTAGGGAATAGAAAGGAATTTGGAAGGACTTTTATGAAATAATGCCAAACATTGAAAGCAAAATCAGAAGAATGGAATAAACACTAACTACAACCTTACAAGAGGGGAAATGAATAACAATGAAGACAAAAGAGAATGCTGAAGTGTAAGAAGAAGGTGTGATCAAAAATCTGTGATACTTTGAGCATTTGAATTAATTAATTAAAATGTAAATAGTTACTAAGCAAGTTTATTTGGTTGCATTCAATGAATGAAAAAAATTATTAAATGGTTTTTGTTATTGTTCAGTATGTCCAACTCTTCCAGACCTCATTAGGGATTTTCTTGGCAAAGATATTGAAGTGGTTCACCATTTCCTTCTCCAGCTCATTTTGCAGATGGGGAAACTGAGTCAAGTGACTTGCCCAGGGTCACATAGTTATCAAGGGTCTGAGGCTGAATTTGAACTCAGGTCTTCCTGACTCCAGGCCTAGTGCTTTATCCACTACACCACCTAAGTGCCAAATCCTATGCTAAGTGCTAGGGATACATACCAAAAAAAAAAAAAATGAGTTAGTTCCTGCTCTCAGGGAGTTCACATTCTAATAAGGAGAAATAACACATGAGAAAGAATATAGATGAAAAGTACAAAAACATGTTTTTAATAAAATGTTCAACTTTAAAAAATGTTCATGTCCATAGCACTCAGGGGAAAAGACTATAATCCA